AATCAGGCTTTTATCTCTATTTCATCACATTTACAACCCAAACTGCTGTTTTGAAAGGACAAATGCCCCACAGATTAATTCACTCTGTTCAGAAAGATTGATGCATCTGGGAAGAGCTGTGTGTAGCTAACATGCTCCAGATACGGGTTTACTATGTGGGCAGTAGAATTGGACTAAGCGTTTCACTTTCCATCCTGAAGCATGTAGCAACTGAAAGTGGGCTGCTATAGCTGTTAGAAAAAAAACACAGTCTAATTTTATATTTCTCCTGGAAAAATTGACCTTCTGGGATTGCGTTACCAGTTAAATGTTGACTGTTGCTGTTTGATGAGCCACACTTGACATGAGCAAAGAACAAGCAGGGATAGATCCTACATCAAGTCCATGGATGAAAAGACCTCATGTTTTGGGAAAGGTGGGGTATGAAGTTTGTAACTCAAAGCCCTAGGAAAAGTTTTCATGTGTTTTTGGGCATTTCAAAAGATATTCAGAGTTCTACAGGGAAGGGAGGGGGAATCATAGTAAAATATTAAGTATATTAATAAAGTATTTGTTCTGTTCTTCACTGATAACTTTTTATTTTATTTTTACAGTGAGATTAATGGTACTCTAAAAGGATAAATAACTCATGTTTTCTGGGGTTCCCTGAACATTTTTATTTAAAAAATCATATAATCCTATACATATAATCGTTGAAAATGTACCTAGGATCTAGACATTGACTTCTTCTCTCTTATCAGCATTAGTAACACATACGTATTTATAAAAATTCAGAAGAATATTTTACTGCAATTGGGGAAAAAAACAAACAGGAACCAACACAGATTATCATAGCTAATTGCTAATTACATACCTAATTACTATTAGATTCCATATCTAATTCTTGAAAGTAATTAATAAACACAAATAGCAAACACTTCCTAGAAAGCCACTCAAATTCAAAGGATTTTGAAAATCTCACACTTTATGTAATGCATGGGCAGTTGTTCTGACATTCACAGTCATAACAACATAGTTGCAGGAAATTTCCACACACAGACAGAGTTTACAATTCTTCATTCCCAGGGGGAAAAAAACACAAAAATGCAAAACACAGGCCCTAGAGCCAATCACCTGACAAACTAAAGACTGTTCGGAGTTGCCAAATCTGACTCCCTGTTTTTAATCTCTGATTTAGAAGCAGTAGCGAGGCTGAGTGTGTGTTCCCAAGAGGCAGCGGGTGACACCCTGAGAGAAACACTCAGCACTCAAACACATATGGCACCAACAGCCTCATCCTTCTCCAGCTGGTCAGGAGGAAGGACTGTTTATCTGGAAATAAACACATGTGCTCAACATGGATCCCTCCTGTAACTTGCCTTAGACACTCAGTCTATCCAGTAGCTGGCACCTTGATCCCCAGTCTCCCCACTTGCTGGCACCTGGACATACAAGTCCGAGGCCTGCAGGTCCCCTCCGGCTGCTGGTACAGATCCCCTTCTAATCTTGGATACACTCACACATCACCGCCCACCCCAGCACATTATGGATTCCTCAGTAACGGGCCTTAGACACTAAGCGTATCCAGTGACTGGCCCTGGACACTCTTGCCTCCCAGTTACCTTGCATGCCCACTGACCCTCACATCTACATTACAGGCTCTCAGTAGCTGGCTTTGACATTCAGGCTATCCAGGACCTGGCTTCTGCTTCCCTGGTCTTCCCTTACCTCATGCACAGAGACACACAGATGCAAACAGGCCTCTCGGCCAACCCACAGACCATACAGTGACTTCCATGTTTAGTTTGGACCTCTGGGCCCCTACAACAGTTGACCGGTGAACCCTCCGGTTTCTGCAGTATTTGGCCTAGACTTATGGCCACGTGGATACCTGGCACCCACACCACTCATCCAACTCACTGGCCGCTCCAGCCTGAGACTCAGTAGTGATTCCACACTGATGTTCACACCCATGTAATACACACACTCTACTCTCCAGTTTGCTGGCTCCACAGACATATAGGACCCTCTGACCTGTGGTCCAGCGTCAGTTGCTGACAGTTAAACCTCCAGACACGTGAATATAGATAGAGAGTCCCGTTACTCAGGAAAATAGTAAGAAATGGAACATAATAACATACAGGACAGACTGTGCTGATCAAGTGCAGGGTACCACCAGACAATGGTGCCAGGCAAGAGCTGGTTTACACACCACTAGACGCTTTTATCCTCTTATCCCTCTATTTTTCCTTGCTCTTTCCTCCTTCATCACTCTCAGTCCCTCCCTTTCCCTGCCTGTGGTTCTTCCTCTAAACATCCCAAAATAAATCTAGTACAATACCATAATGTTCTTCCCTGCATCCCATAATGTGTCCCATACCCCTGCAGACAGCAGCTCCCTTAGCCTGAAGCGACATCAGGGCAGCATCTCTTTTGACTCCTCATGATCGGTTTCAGCCCCGGCCCATGGGGGTGAGGGTCTCCTGGGACAGCCCTGGGAGCAGCCCAGGCTCGAGTCTCTAATTAGGGCAGGGAGGTTGCTCTCCCAGCGCTGCACCTCTGCTCTCCTTTGGTGTGTAGAGATGAACCTTTTATGAGATAAGCTAACAAAGATGTTCTTCTGTTGAGAGCACAGCTTTCTTTTACTTCATAGTTTGTAATGTGGTGCTGGCCCTCTATAATATTATAGATGTATGAATTCTAAAATACTATTTAAACTATTCTAAACTAAGCTCTAAAAATCCATAACTTTAAAGTCTTCAGATAACAAGATGTTTAAAACCAAGTTTAGGCAGCACTAAGCTAGAAGCAGAAGACTTCTTAAGATGAGATGAACAACTTGATGTCTGCATCTGATAGCTCCAAAAACCTTTACTGATAGCCATAAAAGATTTATAGGCTTCACAAATATCACATTCAGTCATGGATGCTGGGACTTTTCTCTTTCTGTTTTTCGCTGTTTTGGCCCTTCTTTCTTGTGAAGGAAGTTTGTGCATGTCAGTGTAAATTCAGAAAACTTCCAGATAAAATATAATTAAGTTGGAATTAAACAATTCAAGCCTTAGGAAAAATAGGTCACAGAAATGCTTATAAATTCAGAAGAGTGATGTTTCTTGTAAAATGAGTGCCTTAAAATCCAGAAATTCAAAGTGAAATTTCATAGTGAAACTCTCTATTCTTCAAGACTTTCCCATCATTTCCAGTATACTACTTCTTCCCCTTATATTCTGCCAAATTAAATTAACTGCTATTCTGGAATTATAAAAAGACAACTTATAAAATCAAAAAGCTTTTTCCATTTTTTTCAATGTTTCACTGTCTCTTTCTCTCACCATTTTTTTTTTTTTTTTTTGTCATTTTAATAGCTAAGGTATCAGAATCATTTTATATTCTATACACATATTAAAGAGTTTAAGTTCATAAAGTGTTATTAAATCCCTGAGAAAGCATAAGGCCTGGGGAGTGAAAATATATTCCCATTTGCTTTTTTGATAAGATACAATCAGTGATCTAACAATACTATTTTCTTTTGTGGTACAAACCTGATACTGAGAACACCCATCATGATTCTTTACTGACCGAATAGCAGCTCCAGACTACAAGTTCCACACCATTATAAAAACAAAAAATATAGGCCATTGCCTCAGAGTGTCAAAACAGAAGTAGAAATGTAGACCAGGGTTGTATTTCTAAGTAAAACAAGAGCAGAGAGAGCCTGAGTGCTGTACCACTGATTTTCCATATCTCTTAGTTGTTAACATGTACCCGACTGGTTTTAGCCTGTGCCAGACTGTACTCACACATGGCTCGGTAAGCGGTGTGCCAGCAGTCATTCCTGAAATATATGAACAAGTCCACATCAGGTTTTTCTCCCAGTACCTTATGTGGTCTTCCAGTATGATCCTGTCAGCCTTTGCACTCTTAGGCCTTTCTAATATGATGTCATAAATTTATAGAACAATTTAGGTTGAGAGAGACTTCTGGGGCTCATCAAGTCCAGCCTCCTACTCAAAGCAGGCCTAACCTGAAAGCTAGCTGAAACGGCACAGATATACTTCTCTTGTAACGAAGCAAGCGTATGCCTCCAAGTTCTGCAGAGATTAACATACACAAGCAAAAGTACTTACATGTAAAAACATTACAGTCAAAACTATTTACAACATTTAGTTCACTTCAGCACATTTTAAAAACCATTATTCTTCCCTACAGTTAGGATTAGGCATCGCTATATTTCATTCTTTCCCCTTGGTATTAAAGCTCTGATATAGATAGGGAAAAACAGTTACAAAATTCAGATGAAAAAGTACTTTCTTAAATTATATTTCCTCATTATCAAGGACTGTAAGTGTGTGCTAAAAATACACCATCATATTAATATTTAGGATGACTCTCTTCAGAAAATCTGAAACAAGTAACAAACCCATCCCCAAAAAGATTTCTTCTCTCTTTAAAGAAACCAATTTGGATTCATTAGACATAACTTACATTTTGTGGAAAAGGGAGAGGGAAATCCATAGAGTTTAAGCATAAATATTTCAGCTCATTCTACTTCTTGAATCATAGAATACATTTTCACTGAAATGGCAATACTGCAGTTTTATAAACACAAGAATGATAATAAATTATTATGGTATACATGTTGAAGCACACATTCAATAATCCTCCCAAGCCTATCCTTTAGGCAAAACAAAGCATTTAAAATCATAATATATTAGGCACATTTGAGTCAATCCCTAAACACAGGCTTGAAAAGATGAAAAACTGCTACTCCAGTTTGGCTCAATGGTTTACATCATGGCATGATGTAGAATTAATTCTGTACACAGCAGGCTCATTTTAGTACTCAGCAAAACATAACAACTCCTACATTTCTTAGTGTTAAAGTGAGAAGTAGGATATAATAGGAACAAAAAAAAAGTAAATCCCACCCACCTGTGTTTTGTAGATTGGATTCCATCCACCAGACTTAGTTACTGCAAAATATTAGCCAAATCACACTGACAGAAACATAAATTACCTACCTGTTTTAGGGTCAACAGAGAAATATGGCTGTCCTTGAAGAATACTGTACACTACTCTGGCACTGTTTCCATATGTAGGGTCATCCGCATCTGTGGCTGTCACCTGCAGAACAGACGTACCTGTATATACAACAGGAAAATAAAAGTTAATTGATAATATATATATATATAATTTTCTGAAAAATATTTTTACATGTATTTACATGTACAAAAATATTTTTACATGTATTTTTGAAACTTATACAGTCCTCACATTCTACAACTAAAAAATTAATAACATTTTCTCTATATGTTATTATAATATTTTTAAGGAAACTTGTTTCTCCTTATTTGCAAAACACATTTTTCTCTTTCTCTCTCTCTATATATATTAATTGATTACACGTAAAGAAACGTAAATAACAACTACATAGCATGCATATTTATGCATGTTCACACACACTGACCCTAAACCTGGATATTGCTTAAACATCTGAGTGACTCATATTTATGTCATATTCATGGACTTCAGGATTATCTTCATCCACAATTAATTAATATTGAAGTACATATTTAAAATAATTTGCATAAACATCCACAAATCAATAAAGTATGCCAAGGGAATAAAAAAATCTAGCTATCTGAAGGCATCAAAGATCTGAAAATGAAATAACTACTAGAATCTTGTTGGAATTTCAGTGATGAATCCAAATTAGAAAGATAAGGAGTTTAAAAGACAAATATTTGTATGCTGTTAATTAGTGCCATCAGAAAAATAAAATCAGTTTCTAGCATGTCACTAAGTAGGATAACTTATGAGCAACATTTAGGAAATAAAATGCCTAAGTATTGCACAGATAGAATAGAGACAAGTGATCTCACATTTTACTGCATTTTTTCCAGACATTTTATGATGAATCGTTTTTGCTTTCATTGCTGCACACTTCACATAAGAAATCAGTAAATGAAAGACTGGCAAGTTAATAAAGTTTTGGTCTTCATCCCACTGGTTTATCCTTCTACAGACACTGCTTTCTACAGACTCCTTTGGTTCAGTATTAAAATAGAGGAATAACAATAACAGAACAGGCTGCTCTCATGTAATTCTGAATCTGAAAGTGGCTTCTCAGTTAAATTAACCACTGAGGCATCACCTCCACTCTGGGGTGTTCAGCTTCACATCTTAGTTCTGAGGAGAAGTATGCTTTTGAATTGAATCCCTTGATCTCCCCCACTTGTCGTACTTTGATTTGCCTCATGGAACAGTTTCAGAGCACGCTAACTAGATTCCTTTGGATGAAACCAAACTCAAAGTTGTACTTAGCAGCACATCTGATCTGTTCTGACTGCTAATGGGCATCTAGTCTCAGAGACCAGACAAGAGCTAGTCTGAAACAAGACTTCCCAAAAACATATGGTGTGGACATCAGATCCTCAGTTCCAACTGTTTAACTTCATATATCAGTTTCTGTTGCATAGGACTGTTTGTTAATGTGCACACCCTCACTCTACATTGGCAATAGAAATAGCTAAAATTACGGAGTCTCACTTCAAGTACAGCAAAGCAAGCACACAAATCTTCGCAGATTTGGATTCTTCATTTTTGGAGAAAGCATTCATTCATTCGTGCATGCTAATATGGACATTGAAAGTAGCTTTTTGTGTCTCCACTGGAGATTTAATAAAAGGTACAGCAAACGTGTCTGCTTACTTAAATATAGTGTCGTTTGGTCTCTGAATAGTCAAAATACATACATTCTCATACATAAATATATTCACACGGCAGATATAAGGATACCTTGATGAAGTTGAATATCTTAATAAAAATTAGTTGGAGCTAATAGTCTGTTCATAGGTATTCAGGAGATAATCATAAAACTAACTAAAACACTGTATTTGATTTTACGTGGCAAAGTAAATAAATATGAGTTAAAGTCAGTGTAATTTCCTTAAAATGTTCTAGGAATCTATTCAGTCATATTTATTGGCTATCTAAACTTAGAATAAGAGTTCCTGCAAACCACATCATGTCACTTCAAAGAACAGAAAATGTGTTTTTCTTCCCTATTCTATAGCTTATCTGAATACTGTAATGATGTATTTCTGTAGCCCAGTTTGGCAACAATTTCAAACTTGAGGTAGGAAAGCTGTGACCTTTCTGTCTTCTAGTTAAGCTTTTTGTATTCAAGCGTGAAGATCTGTCCACATTAATTTGTTGTTTTCATGGCTTCATTATTTTTATGTTGGAATCTTATGGAATTATAAAAAATGAGTAAGTTACTGATATACATTGATTTTATTCTTTTTAATTGCATATTACAAAAACATATCCATCCAATAGATACAGTCAGTCACCTACCAAAGTTTGCTACCCATAGTGCTGGGCAACTGCTGTGCCTTTTTATCCTGCTTCCAGGAAAACAGTTGCCACCAGTAGGTTTTGGAATGGATGAACAGATTTTGGCTATTTCAGAAGAAGAAAATACCAGAAGTACTGAGATTTCTTGGTACTCTCATTCTTCAGAAACTTTCTTCTCTTCTGATTTTAAAAGACAGGGGATAGAATCTGAGTGCTTGCATTACTCATTGATGTGGGTCAAAGAAACAGGGCTAGTGGAAGGCAGTATCTCACACAAGCAGCTGACAGGTCATTTTAGCATAAATGGAATGCTATTATACCTTAAAATCCACCACAGTGATTTTCTAATACATCTGTATCTCTCTCCTAGGAGACACCTGATAATAGTAATTTGGTATTGAATGGTGGCAAAGTGTTCTCTTTCTATCTAAAAGAACATTTAGAATTACAAGTTTTAACTCAATTCCCCCCACCCCAACTCTCAAACCCTTATTCAATGCAATGTAGCTCATTAGATGCTTAAATTTTTCATCGTATTACACAAGCATGCTCAGCATCTTACAAGATTTACTCATACTGGCCTTTTGCCTAACTCTTGCCTTATGTGCTGAGCACAGAGGAAAGGCAGCTTGTGAAAGCTGTGGATTAGAATCCCTTGCGAGGAAAAAAGGTAAGGAGGGTACCTTTACCTTCCAATTACCTGTCTCAAAGTTAGCATCATTCAGCTCATCAACACAACAGACAAATCACGATTCCAAATATATTTGTACCTTTCAGATGCCACAGCAGTTTTTGCTGTTCAGCTACGTGTAATTAAGGATTTAGATGGAAAAGCATACAGTACGCGTGCCTCGCTATTTTTAATGTTAACAATTCTGAAGAAAATAATCTAATACAAAAAATCAGGATCTAATTTCCCTGAAGACCTCAGAATAGATATGAACGTTGGACCCAGAGGCATACCTTCCACACTTACTTCACTAACCTATTGTAAAAGTGCCTGTCAAGAAAAACTCAAAATTTTGCTGTGAAGTCATTTAGAACATTCCAGTTAGGCAATGAAAAAGATGGGGTTTTTTTTCCCCAAAGTGGAGCCTCTGCTTATTTACAGTACAACTACCATTCAACATGATTTCCTGCTACAGTTTAGAGATTACATACTGGGAATTCTGTTTTCTTGGTTAATGCTTTATACAAAGCTGTAAAAGAAGTCTGTATGCTCTGAACACCACGCTGCAAGCTTTTATTCTGTCATCAAAAATAAGGATCATTTAATTTGAGAAATCAAATTGTAGTTTTATTTCAAAATCTTTTCTTTTGTATTTCTCTTTTTTTTGAATAAGTTTACAATAAAAATTTTGTAAAGTTATATATCAAAAAAAGCTGAAGGGAAATACTTCAATCTGCCTGAAGACAAATTTTGAACGTTTAATGAGGCAGTTCCATAAAACATATCTGTTGAGAATGCAAATCTGTATGCATGACATTCTATAGTTTGCTGCACTGTTAAAATCTCAATATTGAACAAAAAGTAAAAGAAGTGAAAAAATGGTGAAGTTTAATGAACACAGTGATTTCTTGCCTAACTAAACTAATTCTTAAAATTGTCTTAAAACACGAATAAGTCAACACAACATGTTTTAGGTTCATTCTACATTAGGAAACAGTTGTTTCACCAGGAAATCAACACTTCAACTCTAGCAATTATAGTGCTGACCCAAGTCTTCATGATAGAAAATTTCAATGTTTTTTTTGTCAGCTATCTTCATTAGAAGATAAAAATCAAACAACACAGTAAGACAAATAGACACTTCTCATACAAATCCTATTTATGAACACCACGAATATTGTCTCCCAGATGATGTGAAATTTTGACTAACTCACATTATAATACCCTGGGAAGAAGTTCGGAAAAGTCCAGTGTTTCTGTTAATTTCCTAAGCAGAATTTATTTGGAATACTCTTCTTATGCATGACCTCAACACCAGAAAATTTAATATGCAATATTTCAGTTATTTTGGAGCGCTCTGAAAATCAGTAGATATGGAAGGCTTTTACCGATTGAAAAATGTTTTTCTTTTTACATTTAAATAATGATAATTCCTTCATAAACCTTAAAACTGAGCATAGTTATAGCTCTCAATCAGACTGAGTTTGTTACACTGCAGAAGAAATCATTTCAGATATAAATCCTAGTTCTTGAGCCAACTTTTAGGAAAAAGGTTCACTGAAGGCAAGGAATATGTGCTTTCTTTCAGCTCTTTCAGCATAGTACATAAAGCATAAATAATATGTTCACTTTATGCCACAGTGAACACTGTGATCTAATATTTGGCAAATAATTTAACAAAACTTACCTGTACTTTCTTGTCAGTGACCTAAAAAAAGAAAATCCATAAAGGTCCTACAGCTTTTACAAGTAGACCAAGAAAGGTTGAAATTGTGGGAAAAATACCGGCTAACTTCTTGAGGAGACAGACAAGAACCTGCTGCTGAAACTAAACAGAATAACGGAGATCAAAAATACCACCTGCCACTCAGCATGAGGGCTGTTACAGAGAGACAGTTACACTGAAAGTTCTTTAAATGACCATGTAAAAAAGTGGAAGAAGTTTTTAAAGTAGTGAAACACCCTTAGGAATTCATAAAATAACAAGAAGTATAGTTATGTATAGACTCCACAGCTTAATGTCAAAAAATGTGCTCATTACAGCACTAATAAAAATGGCATAGGGATCTCCATTATTTGACAGAAAGACTGTATCCCGTGGAAGCAATAACAGAATTAGTCTTCCTGAGACTGAAGACAATAAAATGCTTTCAGTATGCCACAAACAAAACAAATCAATAAAGGAAAAAGAAAATACTGATAATAAATTTGCAATGAAAATATAATGGATGCCTACAGCAGATTGCCTGTATGGCAGGACATGAAAATTCAGTATTATTCACACAACAGGAAATCTTTGTGCAATATGTATTTTAATGATTTACCTCAGGTACAACCGGTAAAGTATTTAATTTACAAAACATATGCATTAAAGCTTTATTTTATCACTAAAGCTTCCTTGGTTTACCATAATCCACTCTGGTTTATAACCCAAAATACCATCCCAGTCTAACAATTCAAACTGTTCTTTGGAAAAAGATAACTTGTATAATGTAGTTGTACAGTAATACTGAGATTCAGACTACCACAGAGTTAATGAATAACATCTATGTCAGAATACTACATTTCGAGAGCATGAAAAAAAAGAGAACTTTTATAAATAGAATGAACAAATAAAAACCAATTATATTAGCGACTTTTGACTTTGAGGAGAACATTGATTTCCTTTCCACTGTCTTTCCTCCTATGCAGAAAATAAAAGGCTTCCACAGGGGAAGGAAAATAATTAATTAAAATTGTCTCCACTAAAGACAAAGGGAACCGAAGAAAGAGGAAGACAGACTTACGCAGTTTGGAGACAGTCGATAAAGTAAATGAATTTCACATCAAGACAGTCTGTGGTGTGACGAGAGACAACAGAGATAAGAGCTTAGATGTTACTAAAAAGAGCTTTAACAGTAAAGCTTTGTTCCACAGTGTATTATCAAACACAACTGAAGAGGTTTTATACAGGTCCACAAAATTACTACTGGGAGCTCTATCCCCTTACTATAGTACTTCCCACAAAGATGCCTCGCTTAAACGGTCCTGGTGTTATGACATTACTCACAGAAATACCACCCTCTGTACTTCCATAAATTTCTCGTGGGAATAATATTTGTGATAGCATGCTTAGACAGATAAAGTAGGGAATTCTACATTAAAAACATGTCCTGTTATATGCATTAGCATCACTGTGTAGATGAATGGAGACCTACACATTTATAGCTCCGACAAGTAACAGATGAGATCAATGAAGTCAGTATCTGAGAGGAAGGTATAGTTTACGAGAATAATAATTTTCAAATGATTTTAAGGAATGAAAATATATTTGGTCTATAGTCTGAAAATCTTGATTAGCTAGGTACTAACTAAATAAGAATGGCTAACAAAGATTGCTCTTCTGATAGAAATCCAGAAGAGGCTATTAGAAATAATAATGTTATTAAATAATGATAAAATGTGGGGGGTAGGAAATAGAAATTACATGCAAAGGAACAAGGGAAGTTGAAGGGTAATTTGGGAACAATGACCTATGAAAGAAGAAGAGAGAAGGAAATAGAAGGACATAAAAGAAAAATGTTTCTCCCTTCATGCATTCTTATTGCAAGAGGGACCACGGGAAAAAAAGGCTTCAAGTTCTCCACGGCTGGGAAGAGACATCTGAAATAGCTCACCATGGGAAGACTTCTAAGAGAGAAGAGGGCTGGAAAGGGAGAAAGGTACTACAAGTACCTACAAGTATTAGAACCAGACAACTATGACAGGTAGACTGTTTTTCAGAACATCACATATAGAGGACATTTTGGAAGAAAACCAAGGAACTAGTCCTGTGTGTCAGTGCAGTGGCAGTGGCAGTGAGAGAAAGAAAGAAGCGGCAGTAATAAAGTCAGGAGAAGAGAAAGAGAATTGGGGACTTTTTTTAGTATCCTTCTAAAACACGATATCTGGTAACCTTGAGAGTCCATTTAATAAAATCTAATTTTGTATGGTAGATAGGAAAGAATACTCATTCTCTACTTTATACAAGATTAACGCCACTGGTGTAAAAATCAGTGTCTGCTTCCAAACTGTCACAGCTCTGAACTCCATGGTTCAGGAATAAGATTTAATATATTTCAGTCTCTCCAGGACTGGTATGATCACTACATGTTTGGAAATATTTCATATGCTACACTTCATTTGTAGATGCAATAAAAGAATTGTAGTTGTGTTTGGAATGCACTATTTTTACTATGCATATCTGTAATGAAAGCTCTGGTTTTGGCCTCTTTCGTCTCTCTGTATGAAATATTTCTTTGCATACTGTGAAACTGAATGCAGTTCAAACAGTACGTAGACTTCCATAAACAGATTAAAATTCCCATATTACACAACCATGTATGTCTGAACTCAGTATAGTGTCAGGTGGTACCACAGAAGATGAACCAAATGCAGATTCCCAATTTAAAATGAATTTTACCTATTTATGCCAGGAAAGTTGTATAAGGCACCTTCCCATCCAAAATAATTATAATAACAAAATGTGTTATCTAATTTTCAAGTGTAGAACAAAACATTTCTGCTATTTTCTGGTCTATTCGTATGAGTTATCATGACCATTTAAAGTGATCAAATGATGACAAACCATTAAGATTCAATGACAATAGTAATTCATTCTTATATGTATGACCAATCTTGTTATGAGTTGAGCAACTACATATATTTTAATACTATTCCCTTTTAATTTTTAAAATTCTACTCTGCAGAAATTCAAGTGTCTCACCTGATTATTGGACAAACATCAAGTAGAGAAGAATAAATTATCTGCTTTTCACTTGGGAAAGTTAGATGTATCTTGGACTTGAAGGTCGTTTCTTAGATGGTGTGTGTAGGGATTTGAGGGGGAAAGGGAAAAGAGTGTGCTCATGAGGCAACTATCTGTACTGTCCATTCAGGAATAAAAGACAGCAGACATATTTAGCAAAGACCAGTCATGACAGTTAAGCTTTCTTAAAAAGATATCTAGCACAAAAGTCACATTTCCATCTGTCTATCCTAGACTAATTATGTAGCTTTGATGTTGTGATATTAAAGGAAAGCTATAAACTAATTGCAACACCAGACAAGCAATAAACAAAGCAAAACTGATTGTATAATTTAACACCTCAAAGAATAAGAATATCTGAACTACATTTCTAACAGGCAAAACCAAAGATCAGTACTTTTTGAACACAGTTCAATTTACAAGAAACTTAGTAAAGGTAAATAAACATAAGAGACTATGGTCTAAAGTAACCTAGCAAACTACCATTCCTTCGTATTTGTTTAATTCTGTGAATTTCATAATTTCATAGACTGCTCATGTAGACATATGAGAATGCCTCAAAGTGTGTAGTTGAATAAGGATATATGAATACATCTTGTTTCTAGACTGTAAGGTGCCATTTGCCCAGGAGCACCTGCAAAAGCATTCAAGAATAAGAATGACTCTCGTCTATAGTCAGCATGTGTGTGTGGACTGTTTTAATATAAATGTCCCAAGTAACATGCAAGGTTGTCTTTGGTGTCTTCTTACCATCTCTTCTCAAGTGTAATACATTTTACATACAATCAATGACACAATAATGTGTCATAACTTTGTCAAACAGTACGTGGCATTTTCTTTTGTTTAAAGATTACTGAATAGAATAATTTGTTATTCTTACCCATTTCAGACATCTCTGGCACAGTAACAATGTATGGTCCGTCTGTAAATTTTGGTGCGTTGTCGTTGATATCCTGCACTTTGATAATAAATTCAGATTCAGGCTCGAGTGGCTTGTTTGTCCGTCTATCAATAGCTTGCGCATGAAGCACATAGTGTGTCTTCTGCTCTCGATCTAGGCTTTTGGTTGAATGGATGTCTCCAGTCGTGTCATCAATAATAAATATAGTCCCCGCACCTTCTCCAGTAAGAATGTATTTGACTGATCCATCACCTTTGTCGGAATTCGAGTGCAGCTGTAGAACATATACACATAAAATCATATACAATGACATATTAAATTTCATAAAAATTTATTGAACATAAGATATAAAAACTATAATATCACTATTAGCACCATTCTACTTAGTCTTTAACCTTCCCACCTCTTGGTGTAATTCGTCATGTGGTATTTCTGGCAAGTCAATCATTCTGTTCAGGGTAATTTCCACCCAGCATAGTTCATATTTCAAGCTGTGATTTATTGGGTTTTACGTCTGTTCTAGAAAACTTTCCCAACTCAAGAATATTCTAGTAACTGGGTTGTATTTTATTTTGGTTTGGTTTTAGTTCTAGTAGTTATCTTACAGCACTCATTGCTAGAAACTCTGCCTTAAGAACTAAGCCTGAGCGCATTAAGCACTAAAACTCCACACTGAGGTTTGTTTGCTTCAATGGTTGTAGTTCAGTCCCATCACCTGTGTTATCTTCTGTGGCCCCAAGGACAGCATCATTTACTGCAAAAGGAAACAGCATAGTGTGGCAGTGACAGATGTCTGTTCAAGATTACTCTATCCCTCAACAAAACACAGCCGTTTTCTCTGGGGCTTGTTTCTTTGGTTTTTTTAATTAGAAAGTCACACAATTTGCTTGTATTTAAATTATTTATAATGAAGTAATGAACTTTGGTACTTCCAGCATTTTCATTGTTCCAAACACATACTTTGTGCTATAGAATATACATTAAACATACTATACACCTCCTTGAGTAGAATAAAGCTTATATTTATTGGCAGGGGGAAAGAAAAGTCACTAAGTACCCTGGTGTATTAAGAGATAACGTGAAACAGCTACGCATCAAGTCTCAGTGCTTCTAACTTGACTTTAAAGAATTGCCTGTTCAGATTAAAAATGAACATGTGTTCTCTGAGAAGCAGGGGTGATTTTTTGACAGATTGAGAGGCTTTGTGGTTTTTTTTTCTTTAAAATAACTTTGAGAACAGAATGTATTTATTGAGGTACACATTGAGAACAAAGTGATAATGCAGAAATGAACAGCCTCGGAAATTGTGCGGTTATATTGTGATGTTAAATCAGACAGGAAACTTTTTTAGATTTAAGAACTCACTCATTCTTATTCTTATCCCACTGCCCTGACTCTCTCTCAATATCTGCAATGTGGCATTACTAAATTTCTATACAGAAACTGAACAAAGCAGACGCAGAATGCCAGATATTATTTTTAATTAATGGAATACAAGGTATCAGTTTCCAGACTCCTTTCCATTCTCAGCTCAGAAAACAGTTAGGGTTGGATAGAGAGCAAATAAGACTTCTGCAGTTACAAATAATTTTTTTGTCTGAATTGAATCATAAGATACAGAAGTGCTGCCGATTTCTCACTCTTCCTTGTACCTTTTGCCAGATCTTTGTCTCACCTTTAAAATTATCTAGCTTGCTATTTGTCAAAGGAGTAAGCATATGCGGCTTGATGACATTTTTTATCTCATGTATTAAATCTATGAAATTATGGTGTCACACAGAATTTATGTCTTGTTCTGTAGAGAGGCGGGTTGTGTGGGCGAAGTCTAATAAAATCAAGATTGTCAGCTCATATAAACTTCAGCCTAACTTCAGTCAATGCCCCATATACTTATCTGAGCTGCAAGATCTGACTGAATAAACAAAATAAAACTGGGTCACCATCATAGCCCCCTTTTTTTTAATTTTGAAAATGGAAGAACAAAAGAAGCAGAGAAAGGGTCTGTTTGCTTGGATTTGCATTTATAGGACAGTAGGACAGTCTTACACCTTTCCTTTAGAGTAGTGATTGGCAAAATTCTGGTTACATCTCTTCCTGTCCTCAGAATAAACTACGTTCTGTTAACAAAGGAATAATTCACTCAGTGTAAAACTCCAGGGATCCAAATTTCCTCTGAAGACAAAATGTCCTCTGACGTGATTTATTCCTGACGAGAACTGTATGTATTCTGGTACTCAAACCCTGCTTTGCTGGTATTCTAGTTTTTCAGAAACAATCAGAATTATTTTTCTATTGCAGTGGGTTCCTGTTTTGATAAAATGATTCCTAAGTGTTAGTGTTTGCAAATGTTAACATTTGCCTCAGAAAGATTGTCTCTGATTTACAGGAAAAAAAAAAACAAACAAACAAGAAACCCAGCAGAAAATACGTGTGCTCAGGAAAATGACAAATTTGCAGTTTATGAAGCTATAAGGAACTCCAAGTAAAACTATCCCAAACTGAAAAAGATTAGAGGAATCTCTGTCCTCATTCTCTCGTTTTAACTCTGCATGCATCTACATAAAAGCATATTGAGGTATACCATATAGAGATCCCAGCAAAAGTCACTGTATTCATAACTGGAATTATGAACCATTTATGAAATTGGTTACATATATAGGCAAGAAATCAACAGAATAAGGAACTAATGTAGAGTTTAAGAAGTAAGCTTTCTTCAAAAAACTCGAACGTCGACATAGATATGGTGTTCTAATACCATACTGCAGACAGGCACATTCAGAAATTCACTGTGATAGCATGAAATACATGGAACATCTGGAAAAAATAATAACATTAGGTATTTTTTGGTGTGAAGGAACAAGTATTTGTACTGATGTGTCATCAGTGAAGAAAGTCCAGGTTCATTTTGAGTCAGAGGGCTTTTACATCTGACAAGTAACTAAAGTTAAGAAACACAAAACATTCTCAGCTGAGTGCACGGACAACCAATTATATGTTATTCCTGCTAGACATCATGTTACCCAACAAACTTCTGTTGAAGAATGCGGGGAGGAATGTCATTAGAAGAAAATTATCTGGGTATTAATAAATACCGAAAGCCTTCAATTAGCAGCTAAGTCTTTTACACTGCAGCTGTAAGGCAACAACTGAAAACAAGACAAAGCTAAGAGACGTTTCTGCTTCCCTACTTCCTAGTATTTCTTATAAAGCACGAAATATAACACTTTGATTTATGCCTTTTAATTTCTAATGGTGAATTTAAAATTCACATAGGAGGATTTTGCGTAGCACTTCTACTGCATCAAAAAAGGGCCTTTCCTTTGTCAATTGGTTTATATTTCAGTTCTTCTGTAAAGATTAAATAACTCTATCTTCTTTAATATTTCCTTCTCAGTACAAATTGTCCCAAATAGGAAAATATCAAGGCTTCTCTCAAACGCTTATTTGCAATATGTGTTGTGCTGAAGAGAGCCTATGGGAATCCCTGCTTAAGACAATGCCTACGAGATTAAGGAGAGAGTGATACCCCTGAGCATGGCTCACTTCTCTCTTTTCCCTGTGTAGGACGAAATCATCTTCACAACGGGTGGTTTATTCCACAAAAGCATTTCTAATTAGAATAAATGCGATTCACTGCTTAGGTCATGAATACATGGCTTGAGAGACTGTTTTTCTGCAGCTATGTCTATATCAATTTATAAAAGACAGCAAGTGAGCAAAATCTACCTGGACAATAGTGGACTCTCTGCTTGGGACTGCTGTAACTATTTCTCTTCCAGATTAATTTGACAGATAGCCGCTAAGCAATGCAGGCTCAAGCCAACCCATGTTCTGTTCAGCAGATCAGGCCTAACTTATGTGACCAGGCGAAGTTATCTCAACTCAGATCACCGGAAAGGTGTGGACATTTCATTTCAATGATATGCCACCACCTCTGCCAATGACTACTGCAAGAACATGTATACACTAGAGGATGAGACTCTCACATGCTGTAGTAATGTGAATAAATGGCTTAGATAAACACAAAATGTTATTTTTTCCCCTGCTGTGCCAGTCAGACACAGAAAGTTGGAACGTTGTGGGAGTCTCTTAATTTAAAAAGAAATACAAACACATTGCAAACTGAAACATGATTACTCATAATGTTGAGATGAGTAACGAGCCTTGAAAAGAAATAAAAGGGAAATGTGCCAAACATTAGAATACAGCTTTCTGATTTCTCTAGCAAAGGTTTTAACTATGACTTTGAAAACATTACTGAAAATGTCTTTCAGTAAGTCTTAGTTTCTATGACAGCCCACCTCATCTGATGATTATATATTGATCTGTGATATTAACTTTTTAACTGCTGAAGAGCTTTTCTTTCCTTCTTAAATTGTTTCAACTTGATTCCCTGAGCAAACTCACTTTAGACCCCAAATCTTATTTTAAAAATTACTTTGCAGACCAATAGTTTGCCTTGTTAACCACTACAGACTAATACAGCTTGCACCCACGACTAAGCCCTCCTCAGAACCCCAGGGCTCCCCCCACCCTGCCCACAGCCCAGGGCCCCACATCAGCCCCCCAGGGCCATCAGCCCCTGCCCTAGTAATGCTCCCCACAGCCCTGCCCTGCCTGTCCATGGGTCCTGCTGAGCCAGGCCCCATCCCCAGGAAGGTGCCTGATGCCTGGGGCTGTCTGGCTGCCCCTCCCCTGGGTGGCCCTGCCATGACCCCCCTGGGGGAGCCCCTGATGCCCCAGCCCCAAGGATCTGTCCCAATCTGCTGCTCCCTGACAGCACTGCCTCCTAACCCCCAACTTCCAGACAGTGCAGGCTTCTCAATTCCTTGTGGAAATGTGGCTTCTAAGTGATATACTGGCATCTGAAAACACGGGCTATCACTGCTGATTTAGTCATGCTTCTAACAAGAACATATCTATTAAATATTCTGAATCTGTTCACAATCAGAAGCTTCCAGAAAGTATTTAACTATCATCCCTTGTTGGGTATTATTCCTGCCTTTATTTTATCTGGAATGTTACCTTTATCAACCCAGCAGGCTCCACTGCTTGACATATGTAATAACAGGTTCAATTCAGGATGATTTACTATGGTTCCTCAATCTTTAACTAGCTTATATCAGCAGTGTATGACTGATTTAACAGAATAGCAAGCCAAGTGTCCTTGTTTTGCTAAGATTTAAACATTTTTCTTCCATCAGTCCACTTTAACACTTAACTTTTCTTTAATATTCTTGCACATTCTGCAGAAGGTCTACATTTTCCAAAGGC